AATAAAGAGCAATGTTACCTTCCACCTCTACGTCAGGTTGGTGTGGGGGTTTGAATGACTGGTGTCAGCAGCACTGTCATGCCCCTGGCCCTGGCTGTTTCCTTTACAGTCAGTGCTAACCAGGGAGGGTTTGTTTTCTAGCACAGCACCATGTGGGGACGGAGCACTCTTTGATAAGTCCTGCAGTGATCAGGCAAACGAGATGGGACAAGCCCAACATCAGCCTCTCTTTGAGAACCCCAAGCAAGGCAAGCTGCGGACCAAGGTGGAGAATGGTGAGTGCAATCACTCCCTGCACCATGGGGTGGCTTCAGTCCTCTCCTGGGAGCCTTTCTGGTGCTCCAGAGCTTCCTTACCCCTCTCTGTGTGGTTCCTTACCCCTCTCTGTTGTGGGATTTGAAGCATTCAGGAACCAGAAGAGGTAGATGGAAGGCTTTAGATAGAGTCCCTTTCCCCTTCCCAGCTCTGCCTCTTGCACTGCCATCCTTGTGAAGTTTGCAGCTGAAGTTTGATGCAAAGCTCACATCTAGGTCTGTGTCCTGCCTTTCAAGCAAAGTTCTATTCTGCTTCAGCCATGTTGAAAATTGCTCATCAGTACCCAATACTGAATGCCAGGTTGTTCTCTGAACCTGGTGTCAGACTCCTGAGTTCACTCTGGGTATCCAGAAGTTTCTTGTGCAGTTGCTGATGGGGTTTTGATTTATTTCAATATCTGACTCTATACAGAAAAGCTTTCTTCTTCTCTTGTGCAGGGGAAGGTACCATTCCTGTGGAGTCGAGTGACATTGTGCCCACGTGGGACGGGATCCAGCACGGGGAGCGGTTACGAACCATGTCCTGCAGTGACAAAATCTTACGCTGGAATATTCTTGGCTTGCAAGGGGCATTGCTGTCACACTTCCTGGAGCCAGTTTATCTCCACTCTGTTACACTTGGTGCGAAACCCTCTGTCCTCTCGGGGTAAAACCAGGCTGCAGTGACAGCTCCTCTCACTCCCCAGTGTGATGGCAAAGTTTGTTTGTGGAGGGTGTAGGAGTAACAGACTGAAATGTCTTTCTTGGCAGAGCTGTTTGAAAATGCAGAGAGAGTCCATGGATTTTAGGCTGTGGGTAGAGTCGGTGTCTCTGCAAAGTTCTGGATATTAGGAGGCACAAGTGGTCTAGGAGAGTGAGACAAAAACTGCATGTTTGTGTCTTCAGTGAGGAATGTTGCAGTCTGGAGACCATGGATACACAGATACACGTAGCCATGCTGTGAGCTTTCAGGAGCCTGTGAGCAGTGCTGCAGTTTTTGGGGTTTGGCCAATCCATCGATGTTGGAATGTTGGGGGACACAAGACAGATGATGGACTTTCACATCACCTGTGCCATCCTGTTTCCTCACACCTTTCCCTTTGTCTCCACAGGTTACTTGTACAGTCAGGGTCACTTGACCCGTGCCATCTGCTGCCGCATGGAGAGGGATGGGAGCACGCTGAAGGAAAAACTCCAGGCTCCGTATCACATTAACCACCCTGAGGTACTGCAGCTGCAGCACTTCTTCATCTTTGTCCCCCATTCCTTTCCCTGTGGTTTTGGAGGTCCCTGAGGTGCTCTACAGGGAGGGTTGTTGTGCAGCAGCCCTCCAACCAGGGGCAAGAATTAGTGGCCAGAAGCACAGAATCATACAGTCAAGGGATATCCTGAGTTGAAAGGGACCCACAGTGTCTCATTAGGTCTAGCTCCTGGCCCTACACAGGACAGCCCCAAGAACCTGACCTCTTTGTGTCACCCGACAGTTTGGGGGTTACTGGCAATGTCTTAGTCTGGAAAAAAGGACACTAAAGTTGCCTCTCTAGCCTTCAACTCGGTAATAACCTTTTCCTTGTAACTCTGGAAGGTTTAGGATGAGCTAAAACTGTGAGGGATGAAAGGGGCAAGAGACTCAGGCAGCAGGACCAGGTTAAGCTTCCTTCCTGTGCAGGTTGGGCGAGTCAGCGTGTATGACTCTGCAAGGCAGACAGGCAAGACGAAGGAGTCATCGGTGAACTGGTGTCTTGCTGATGAAAGCGAAGTTGAAATCTTGGATGGCACCAAAGGGAAAGTAGATGGGTAAGAGGAGCTTTTCCTGACACTGCCTTTTCCTGACACTGTCTGAGGGAAGGGGGGCAGCCCTGAGGTGGGGAGTACACTCTGCACTGTTACAGCACCCTACACATGGGGAGGGTTGGATAGAGGAATTTTAAACAGACATAAGCAAGCACTCCAGAAGGAAAATAATGTTGCCCCACCTGGACCCTACCCCTGAGCCCTGCCAAGCCCAGAGCTCCTCTGTCATGGGATTTTCCCTGAGCCCCCTGCTTCTCTTGGCTCTTCTCAGTGTCCTGTCCCTCATTGCTGTAATTGTCTTCCTTCCCAGTGTGAAGCTGGAGGTGTCTCGTGTGTCCAAGAGGAAAATGTTCACCCTGTTCCAGCAGCTCTGTGCAAAGAACAGCCGCAAAGACCTGCAGGGCTTCTCTGTGTACTCGGATGCCAAGAAGGCAGCCACAGCTTACCAGGCTGCCAAGCAGTGCTTCTTCAGCACGCTGGAAGAGCTGGGCTACGGCAGCTGGATCCGCAAACCCCAAGAGGAAGAAAATTTCTCTGTCCTTGATGTGTAAGGAAGCACTCTGCAAGGACTGGGGGGTGAATGTGCGCAGGCTGTGCATGGCTGTGCTCATCCCTCTTTCACCACGTTTTTGGAGTGGAATCAGGACTGTGCAGCGGTTTCCTCATAGGCCTGGCTGCCCTGTCACTGTCACTCAGACCCTGTGTTTTTAAAATGTGCATGTAAATGATTCTCCTGTTTTTTAAAGCAAGGGCAGGCTCAGTCCTCATTTGCTTTTTTATAGTTTTGTCCCCCCCTTTATTGTTTTTTAAAAAAGGCACGAGAAACCAGAGGAATTTTCAAGACTGTGAGCTTGAAACCTTTGGACCATGTACTGCAAATCCCTCTGGCAGGTTTTGAGGCAAATTTTCTCCTTTGAGATTAAAAAAAAAAAAAAATCAGGCTGTTTGACTGGTTTTCTGTGTCTCTCTTGGAAGATGACTGGCAGCCCAGCCAAGCTGGGACATGGGACTGACCTCTGCAATGTGCAGCCAGAGGACCAGCATAACATTCTGCATTAATGGCAAAGAAGAAAGTTTCAGCATTGTTTGCCATGGGTGTGTTGATTCCCATTGAGGTGAAGAGGGGCCTGTGGTGGGGTTTAGAGAGGGACAGAGATGAGTTAGTGTTTGCTGAATGATGAAGGGAGCCAGGTAGAGTTTAGAATTGAGCCTCTTACCTCAAGCACAGGGCTCATTGGGCAGACCTGAGCCCGTGAGGGCTGGGCTCTGAAATGCTGGGGCAGGGCCCTCCCAGCTCCTTCCCTCACTGCTAGCTCTAGGACAGGATGGGGTGTCTGTCTCCAGTCTCTGGACCCCAGTGGTGGCTGCAGGCCCTGTCCTGTGTCTGTGTCTGAGCTGAGCCACATGCCAGAGCTGCTGGTGGAAGGTGAGAAGGAGCAATGCTGTTGCCATCCAACAGCAAGCTTATTGGGTGGTGTTGAAGCAGCCCTTTTCCCTGTACAAGGCAAATGCTGGCTTTGCCTGGGTTGAGAGCTCTCTCATATGAGACAGCGACCAAAGACCTGTTAGCATGGAAGTACAGCCCAGTGAGGAGCCTAAGGCTGGGAGCAGGACCCCAGCTCTGGCTGTGGATCTCCACAGGACAGCCAGGCTGGGGCCAGGCAGGGTCAGCACTTGCTGAAAGCCCAGCTGTCACATGTTCACCCTGCCTGCAGCTGCCCGTGGGCATCCACTGCCACACAGAGCTGTGAGGGGAAGGAACTGCCTTGGCACCCAGCCCAGAGCAGGGCTGGGGGGCTCCTCTCTCTGCAGCTGCTCAGGGAGCTGTGTCTGAGGCTATGGGGGCTCCTGCTGTGCTCCCCACACCTTCCCAATACTGATAGATCTCCACTCCCCACTGGGGCACAGCAGGACCCCCCCATCCTGCACTCACTGAGGTTGGACCAACAGCAGAGGAGACACAGAGGTGGGATGAACTGGGACAAGCCCCTGGCATGGGGGTGCTTTAGGAGCAAAGCCCTTAACATTTAGGTATTGGGGTGCACCCCTGAGCTCCAGGAGCAGCAGCTGCAGCAGCTGGGATTTCTCTGGCTGGGTGAAGTGCTGGGATTTAAATTAATTTCTAGCGTGCAGCTTCCCCTGGCCCTGTGTGTTGCCAGGCCCTGCCACCATCACTCCCCCCAGCCCCGGGGATTAGTGGTATTTATAGCAAACACTCCATCTCAGTTTTCCCCAGCGAGGCCAATTCCTGCTGGCCAAGAGAATGCAGGCAGTGCTGCTGGCCATGGTGTCAGCCCAGTGACCCACAGTGGGGCCCGACTGCCAGCAGCTCCCAGCTTGGGTTGATTAATTGTGTTTTTCTTTTCCTTGAGCAACTCATCTTGTGCCTGCTCTTGGCTCCAGCATGCTGAGCCTGGAGTGGAACAGAAGAAGATAGGGTTGGAACAGCCCCTGGAACTTGCTGCCCTCGCCTGCAGGTAGGACCTAAAAATAGCCTCTTCCTGCTTGGTCCATGTGTTCACTCAGAGCCAGAGCTGAGCAGCTCTGTCTTCCTCCCCATGCCCCTGCTCCTGCTCTGTCATCTCCTGGGAACCCCAAGAGCTGACACAGGGGTTGGCAGCACGAGGCTGGAGCCAGGGGCTGCTCACTGAGGCTGGGGCTCTGGCCCCACATGGCGTGAGAGGAGATGCAATGAGTGGCTGGTGCTCCCAGGAGCAGAGGAGAGAGATGAGCGTGTCCCCATGGATCAGGTTTCACGCTCCTTTGCTCTCTCCCTCGGCAGCTGGGATTTTCCTCTCAGAGATGATGCCTCCCTAGCCTCTTACCTTGGTCACAGGCAGCCAGAGTCACCCCATCCCGGCTGCATCCTGCTCTCTCAGGCCTGCAGAGCACAGTGTAGGATGAAATGACACCAGATGGAACCAGCCCGGTCCTGTGGAAGTATTTATTGGTTTGCAGGGGCTGCCTGAGCCCAGTACCCAGCTCTCCGGCCCTGGGACTGGCCATTCCCCATGCTATTTGGAGGTGGGGGTGCCCTGGCCAAGCTGCAGCAGGGAGTTGGTGGTGTAGTTCTGGAAGAGGGGCTGCAGGAACATGCCAATGGTGCCAAAGACACAGACGAAGACGAAGATCCATAGGAAGAGGCGGTCGATGACCATGGCCACGTACTTCCAGTCCTCGCTCACCTGCACGGGGCCAGGAAAAATGCTGGGTCAGGCTGGGGCCTTGGGTATTGCCTGACACTGCCCCAGCTGGGGATTTGGCATATCTCAGAGCCTCGAATCTGCTCCCTCAGCACTGCAGCTCCTGGGGCTGCCTGCCAGCCTGCTGTGGGCCTCATGGGGCTCACTCCCCCTGCTGTCACCCACACTGCTGAGCCCAAGAAACATTTTCCCAGTGAGCAGAGCTGGGAGGGGACTCTGCAGAATCTGCAGCCTGACTGCCATGCAGGGCCAGGCCTCCTGGGAGCCTCCTCTGTTTCCAAAGCAGCTGCTTCAGCATGGGACTGCAGTGGTGGGTCAGGGATCAGTGCTGGTCCTCACTGGGCATGGGGCTAGGCAGGGATCCCCTTGGTGCTTGTGCACATCACTTCCTGTGGTGCAGCCGTGAGCCAAAACACACTCTGCACCCTGCAGCTCTGCCCGCACCCCCCAGCACCTGAGCACTGCCCCCTCCCACGTGCACACCGCCCACCTCGACTTACGCTCTGATCGTCGTCCTCGCTGCGCATGTGGTCGGCGATGAAGCGCACGCCGTCCACCGCCTCCTCCAGCCCACAGCTGCAGCCCGCTGCGGGGCCCGGCGCCTGCCCCTGCCGCTCCCGGTAGCCGTTGAGCCCCTCGGCCTTGGCAGCGCCAGGGTTGGCGTAGCAGGTGCAGGTGTGGGCACCGGCCTGCACGAAGAGAGTGGCGGCAGCAGCGCGTTCCTGCGTGTGCCGGCGCTGGCGCAGGCGCTGGCGGGCGCAGCTCTGCCGCGGCTGCTTCATGAAGAGCAGCGCCGGGAGCTTGTGGAGGAAGAGGGTGCGGACCCAGGGCGGCATGGTGTGCGTGGTGGGCGAGCGGTGGTGCACATTGAGGACACAGACGCTGGTGACGATGGAGAAGGTCACCAGCACCATGGTGAACATTAGATACTTGCCCACCAGTGGCACGTCCAGTGAGGTGGGTGGCACGATCTTGGAGATGAGCAGGAGGAAGACGGTGAGGGCGAGCAGGACAGAGATGCAGAGTGTCATCTTCTCGCCACAGTCAGATGGGAGATAAAACACAAGGATGGCCAGGGAGGTAATGAGGATGCAGGGGATGATGAGGTTGATGGTGTAGAAGAGCGGCTTACGCCGAATGATGAAGTCATACGTGATGTCCACGTAGGTGGAGTCATCGGGGTTCTCGTTGCGCCGCCCCGGCAGCGCCACGATGTCCCACTCGCCGCTGGGTGTGAAGTCATCCAGGCTGGCCACCTCGCTCTTCAGCACCAGGTCAATCTCGGTGCGGTCGTAGGTCCAGGAACGGAACTTCATGGTGCAGTTCTGCTGGTCAAAGGGGAAGTGCTTCACCTCGATCTTGCACGCGCTCTTGTAGATGGCAGGTGGCAGCCAGAAGATGCTGCCATCGTAGGAGATCACCGCGTTGGAGTAAAAGGAAACCTCGTACATCCCATCGGCGCTGGGGTGAAGAGAGCTGCTGTCAGTCCTGCTGTTGTCAGCCCCAGCAGTACAACAACATGGCCCCCTGCCCTGGGTGGGGCTGGGGAACACATAGCCCCCCCTAAAAATGACCTACTTGTTGTAGAGCACCACATCAGGCAGCCAGATGTGCTTGGAGGGCAAGCGGACCTTCTTCATGTTGTCAAAGTCCTCAGGCTTCCACGTGAGGCGATAGTCCTCCCACTCCTGAGGACAGGTGGGATCAGCCGAGCCCAGCCCAGCCACAGGGCGGGGGCCTGGGGCAAGGGGGTGGTTCAGGACAGGGGGGACACAGGCTTTATGGGGGGCTCTAAAAGGGCAGGGTAGACATTAGGGTCCCACACAGGATGTATGGGATAGGGATGGGTCTCAAGGCAGGGGCTGAGAAATCCTGAGGCAGGGTGGACATAGGGTTCTCAGGGCCACATAAGAGTCCAGGGTGCCCACCTGGGTCAGCCAGACATTCGTGGTCATGATCTGCTCCCGCTCATGCTGCAGAGAGAGAAGGGCCAGTCACCCAGGGTGCTGGGAGGGTTTGGGGCCCCCTCGCTTGCCCAGGGGGTTGGGGAGCAGAGTCCTGGCCAACTCACCACGCTGATGAGCTGCGCCAGCGACACCATCAGCTGCACGGTCACCAGCTCCGAGCCATTGGTCGCCGGCCGGATCAGCTTGTTGTAGCGTGCAGGGTCCAGCAGGTACTCAACCAGCCGCTCCTCCGTGTCTGTGCCCAGGCTCCCTGGGGCACGGCCGAGCCTGAGCCCCATGGCGGCAGGCAGGGCCCCCCACGAGGGTCCGGGGCCCCCCCGGGACAGAGCCTGTACCCGGTCTGGGGCTCTGTGCCTGGCAGCCCAAGAGCAGGAACGATGGGGCGCATGCTGGTGGGGTGTGGGTGTCACAGCCGGGCACGGAGCGGGGAGGGCCGGGGGCGAACGGGCGGGCTCAGGGGCTCCGTGAGTGGGGGCGAGCGGCTGGACAGCGCTGGGGGTTCCTCTCCGCCCTCCCCGCCATTCCTGCCCGTTCGTGACACCCCCTCCCCGTTCCTGTCGGTTCCTGCCCACCCCGGGCACCGCCTCGGGGAGCCCGAGCCCGCGGCGGCCGCACAGCCCCGGGGCGCTCGGGGAGCGCCGGTGGCACCGGCACCGCGGAACGGCCGGTACCGGCCCCACTCCGGACCCGTCCTGTGCAACAGGCGCAGCCCCCGGGCCCGGCCCGGTCCGGTCCGGTCCCCTCCCCGCCTGTGCCGGTGCCATCCCCCACAGCCCCGGCACTTACGTCTGAGGGCAGCGAGAAGGCAGAGGACGCGGAGCAGCGCCATGGGGGCGGCCCGGCGCCGCCACCGGCACCCGGCGCTGTCCGCGGTTCTGGCCGGGCGCTGTCCGAGGTGCTCGCCGTCAGCGGCCCCGGGGCCGCCCCCGCCTCCGCCCCGCCGCGGCCCGGGGACACGGCGGCGGGGTCTGAGCTCCCCCGGCCCGCCGCTCCACCGGGGCACCTGCACGGCCAGCGGGGCGGCGGAGCCCCGGGCCGGGATCTGAACGGGAGGGCGGGAGAGTTGGCGGGTGGAAGCCGGGAGCGGAGCCCCGCGGCCGCCGCCGTACGCCCGTAGGGGGTCTCGGAGCCGGCACTGCCGGGCCTTGCGGAGCCCCGTCCCCGCCGGGCCTTGCGGAGCCCTGTCCCCGCCGGGCTCGGCCGTGCCCGGTGCCCCCCGTGACCCCCGGTGACCCCCCCGGCAGGGGCGGGGGTCCCCCCCCCCCCCCGGCAGGGGCGGGGCCCCCCGCCGGCCCCGCCCTCTTCCCCGGGGCTTACTGAGCGTCACTTCCCGTATGTCGCGAGACGCTTCCGGCGGGGCCGCCCCGCCCGTTCCGGCGACGGCACTTCCGGGAGCGGGGCCGTCCCGCCGCCATCTTGGGCGGGCTCCGGGGCTGCGGCGGCGGCGGCGGCGGAGCGGGTCCCTCCATGGGAAGATGCAGCGGGCGGGGCCGGAGGAGGCGGCGAGGGCGCAGGCGGCGGCGGGGGGACCCGGGCGGAGCGGGGCCGAGGTGGCGGCGGCCCCCGCCGGGCGGCTCCTGAGGCGGGAGCTGCGGCTGCTCGAGTCCATCTTTCACCGCGGCCACGAGCGGTTCCGCATCGGCAGCGCCTGCCCGGACGAGATCAGCTGCGAGTTCGTCCCGGGGGCCGGGGCCCGCGCCGGCGCCTCTGCCTCCCGGGGGCCGCCGCCGGGACCCGTCCGTATTCACTGCAACATCACGGTGAGGCCCGGGGGGCGGCGGGCCCGGGCTCTGCGGGGCACCGCGAGGCGGCCCCGGGACCGAGCGGCTGCTCCTTCGCGGGGACGGGGCTGTCGCCGTTGGGGCCCGGGGTGAGCCGGGCCTGTGCCCCAACGTCCCTGCGCTGGCTGCGGCGGGCGGCTGCCCCCGTCCCCCCGCGGGAGCGCCCCGCCGGCCGCGCGAGCTCCTCGGGGCCGCGGCTCACGCAGAGAACGGCCGGGGCGCAGTGCCCGGCGGCGCTCCCGCCGCCCCGGTGTGCGAGAGCAGGCCGTTCCCCGTGGTGTTTGGAACCCCCAGCCCTGTCCCGCTGCTCGTGCCCAGGCGTGGAGCCCCTGAGGCCGCCCTCGTTCTCCCTGCTTCCCCCGGGTTTGTTTCGGAGGGTTTCCCGGCGGGCCCTGATCTCCCCGGAGAGGAGACACCTGCGGATTCAGCGTCACCCTGCTCTGGTTCATCCGCACCGGTGTTTTAGGGATCCCGGTGCTGGATGGCTCGGTGCCGGTGTGCTGATGCCCTCTTTGGTCACGAGTTCCAGCTGGTTTGTGTCTCCAGACGAGGAGGGCTAGCAGAGCTTGGACAGCCCCATGTGTAGATTCTCAATGGGACTAATGACCAGGATTTTCTGGAGGGGCATGTTGGGAGTGTTGCCAGAGGCCTTGTCCTGGATTAAAGGTACCTGCTTGGCCTCTGCTCTGCGTGGGTGCTGCCAGGTTCACCTGTAACTGCTGGTGAGGGTAGTAGGCAGTGTGCAACGTGGGATGCCCTCAGTGTCCTGCCTCTACTGCCTTCCACCCCCAGTGGCCCCACGGGCAGAGGAGTGGCCAAAATGCCACTGTCCTCCCTCTGTGTTCAGCCCTGGGCCAGGGGGACACAGCCCAGAGCCAGCCCAGCAGGGTCCCAGTAGGGGTTTGTGTTGCCCTCAGCCCAGGTTTATGCTGCAGGGTGGATCAGTCACCTGTGGCCTGATCTCTGTGGTACAGAGGGATCTTCAGCCCCCACCCCGTCTGGCTCACTGCTCTGTGCTCCACAGCGGCCTCCATGCCACCAACACCCCCTTTCCCCTGTGCAGGAGTCTTATCCAGCTGTTCCCCCAATCTGGTCTGTGGAGTCAGATGATCCCAACCTGGCAGCTATCCTGGAGAGGCTGGTGGAAGTCAGGAAAGGAAACACCTTGGTGAGATGTGCTCTGCTGCCTGGGGGAGGGGAGCCTGGCAACTTTTGGAGGGTAACTCCCTGCTTACATGTCCCCAGCTGCCTGAAGTGGGGATTGCCTCTGGTCTCATAAACGTTCCAGATGTTTGGGATGAACTTCTCTGACATCATTTGATGCCGGGGTGGGATTTTGCACCCGTGTCTCCTGCTGCTTGTATCAGGAGGGAGCAGTGAGGCCTTTGCTGGCTGGCTGCAGGGCTGAGGCTCAGCTGGGCACGGGGCTCCCCACACTTCACTGACCTTCCGTTCTCTGGACAGCTTTTGCAGCACCTGAAGCGAATCATCTCTGACCTGTGCAAACTCTACAACCTCCCCCAACATCCAGATGTTGAAATGTTGGACCAGCCTCTGCCGGCAGAACAGGTAAGTGGCTCAGGAAGAGGCTCCCAGAGCTCAGAAAACAAGTCACAAGTTCCCTGATGTTTGCTCTGGAGGCTTCTGGGGGTTACCAGAAGAGGAACACAGTGGATGAGAGATTGGATTCCTGTCCTGGGTGATGCCAACATGCTCTGCTGGGCCTTGGTGCTGTTTCTTGTAAAGGCTCTCAGCTGCCCTTTGCTTTTAATTTGGTTCTGCTTGTTCATCCCTGTTTGACCTCACCTTGGAAGCATCTGGGAAGGCAGGAGAGCATTTTCCCAGGATGCTGACCACACAATCTCCATCCCTATCCTCTCCACAGAGCACCCAGGAAGAGGTGTCCTCTGAAGAGGAAGATGAAGAGATGCCAGAGGTAAGTGCCACCTTAGTGTGTGAGGATATGTGCCAGAGAGCTGAGCACAAGGAGAAAGGTGCTGCAGGGTGCAAGGGTACAGGGGTAGAAGCCTGGGAGAAGCTTGCAGCCACCAGACAGGGAAGTTTAGACCAAAGGCTGGATGCTTCTTCGCATTTTGATGCTGAGGATTCTGAGGCACAGCTGGGCTCTGTCTATTCACAAACCCCGGGAGAGCAGAGAGGCTGAGCATGGCCATGTAGCCGTGGCCTCCAGAGGCATGTGGATGAGCTGTGAGCAGAGCTGCTTGGACAGTATGTGCTGTTCTCTAAAGGCTGAAATTCCTGCGAGAGGGATGGATTTCTGGGTTGCTGTTGCTGGCAGGGAAATCTCTGTTGCATGGAACTCCCACAGAGAGGATGAGGTCAGGTGGCTGAGTGTGCAAGTGAGCTGATTGCCAGCAGTGGTGGAGGCAGCCACACTTCACTGCAAGCTGAGGGCACCTTGCTGCACAACCCACAGGCTCTGGTTGTTTGGTTTGCAGTTTAGAGATCTGTGGAAGTGGGTGGAATAATCTTGAATCTCCATGGTGACGTTTAGCAATGCCTCAGACACGAGAACAGCACGGGCACTGAGTCAGCAGTGCTGTGGAGCCTGGGGGCAGGTCACTGAGCAGCAGCACCCCAGCAGTTGGGGGGTTTTGGCAAAGTTAATTGCTTGCTAAATTAAGGTTGGGCTTTGCTAGCGTCCACAGGGAAAAGGGGGAGGGTTAAACTGGAACCAGCATAACCGTGTGAATCTGCAAATCTGCAGCTTTATGGCAAATCAGTGTGCACAAGGCCTCCACTCCTGTAGGCTGGAAAAATAAATCCCGAGGAGCTGAGCATTCCCCCTTGTGCTTTTTGCTAATGCCAGGCGTTGTGGAGGGAGAACGCTCATGTAGAGCAAAGGTTTTGTGCTGAGCAGTGGGATTTGTTCAGCTCTGTGGAGGAGTGGAGCAGCAGAACTGTGTCCTGGCACACAGATTCATTATGCAGGTTAATCTAATAGAGGGATTTTCTAGGAGGATCTATTTTCCTGTGTGAGTCTAAAAGTGTCCAAGCCCTTCCAAAAACACTGCTCAGTAGCCATGACTAGCCCAGAGAGGCCAGAGTAAACACTTGTTCAGAGGATTTAGTGCCAGTGCTGGAGCTGTGCATGCCCACAGCCATTTCCAGGCAGCTGAACCCTGTGTGCATGGGGACAGATTTCTGCAGTGGGCCCAGATGGCTGCAACTGTTTTTTCCCATCTGGGGCTTGCATTGCCACATGTTATTTTGGGAAACAGTGAGGGCCAAAGGCTCTTCTGGGGTCAGGTACTACACTTGGGGTGTTCTGAGCAGATCTAATGAGAGACCTGCTGTGAAATCCCCACTCTTTTTGAGGGAGTAACATCCCATGCAGCTGGATTTGGGTGCAGGGGTCTGTTCTTCTCCTGGTGCCAGTGACCTGTGTCCCTGTTAGGGTTTGGCTAGCCCAGGGGCCCAGGTGGCCTGGCAGCACTGTGGCACGGGGCTGTGCTTTGTTCCAGTCACCCAGCAGCGTGGCACAAGCTGCTGAAGCCACAGGTGTGCCAAGATCCAGGGTCATGGTTATGTGGGGCTTGCTGAGGAGTGAGAGATTAATGGGTCATTATAAACAGGCATGAGACATAACAAAAGACAATCCAGCAAACAAAGGGCTCATATGAGCCCAGCTGAGTGCCCAGACCTTGTGCCTTCCACTCTGTTTGTACCTCAGATCAGGAGCTGGGATTCACATGCTGAAAGAGTTGCACTAGGAATCCTTCCTGGGTCAGGGCAGCTCAGCACTCAGAGCAGGGAGGAGCAAAGGCACATCTCTTTGAGCTTTCCTCTTCCCTTCCCAGGACACTGAGGACTTGGACCACTATGAGATGAAAGAGGAAGAGCCGGCAGATGGGAGAAAGACGGAGGATGAAGGCATTGGGAAAGAAAACCTGGCCATTTTAGAGAAAATAAAAAAGAACCAGAGGCAAGATTACTTAAATGTACGTGTCGCCCAGTGGGCAGGTGGGCTGGGGAAGCAGAGGGACTCAAGGGCAAGAGTGATGGAGGCCCTTGCCAGCCCTCCAGCCCTAAATCAGAGGGGCTGTCCCCAGCCAAAGGTACAGCAGTACCAGTTCTCCAGGGCTGATGGGGCTGAAGCAGAGGAGTCTGTGAACTGCCTCTGCAGCTCAGGGAGGGCACTGGGTGACCCCAGGGACATTGGTGCCTCATGGGGCAGTCCTCCTGCAGCAAGATCTGGGGCTCCTTCTGCCACTGGAGCTGTGCCCTCACAGTCACCTGGGGCTGTGGAGGTGGACTGTGCTTGTGTACCCCTGGGCTAAGATTCTAGGACAGTGGAGAGGACACAGAGGTGTTTCTGTTGTGAGCTTTGCTGCCTGAGGTGACATATTTGGGAAGAAGGACTGGCTCAGAGGTGACAGGCAGGATACAGTCTGGTACAGAGGCTGGACCGAGTTATAGCTCAGGTGTTGGCCTCCTAGAGCAGTAGCCATGGTTGGGTGCAGCATAACAATACAACTTTCCCCTCGCTGTTCCTTGCAGGGTGCAGTGTCTGGGTCTGTGCAGGCCACTGACCGGCTAATGAAGGAGCTCAGGGATATTTACCGATCACCAAGTTTCAAGGGCGGTGAGTGCTGCCAGGAGCTCTGGGCAGGAGGATTCCTTCTCCCCCCGTGGGGTACCCAGTGGGCCTTGTGCTGCTCAGCTGAGGGGGAGGATCTACAGCATTGGATGGCTGTGGCTCTGTCAAGAGTGAACAAAACCACCTTACCCTCTCTCTTCCCTGCCATTGCTGGATGTACGTGAAGAGCATGCTGTGGGTTGGAGAGTCATGTGACTGTGAGGGGAATGGTGTTCCTACTCCTTTCCTGAGCCCAGGGACTCAGAGAAAGAGCCTGCTGCCCTCAGGACTGTCCTGGACAGGCACTGCTTTTCATGGAGGGACAGTGCCCAAATGAAGTTGTGCTGCAGGGCCCAGGGAGTTTGAAGTCTGGGTGATGGCTCAACCCCCTCTCAGTGTCCCCCCACAATGACCCCCTGTGTTCTCCTTGCAGGATACTATGCAGTTGAACTAGTGAATGACAGCCTGTACGATTGGAACGTCAAACTCCTGAAGTAGGTGGCCCAGCTTGGGATCATGCATTTTTGGTGGGTTTTGGTGATGGGACCAGGAAGTCCCTGTGAGCAGAGGGGACATGAGCATGGCAGGCGAGCACCAAGCAGACCTTGAGTTAGCATCTCTCAGGCAGCTGGCTTGCTGTCTCCACGACAAAAAGGAGATGATATCTCCAGGCAAGATGAGGTAATCGGAGGGCTCTGCAAGTCTCTGCTGTTCCTAGAGTCCGGAAAGAGGTGCAGCAGGCAAACCCTGAGCTTTCACACCCTCCAGACACCAGTGCTGCCTTTTCCTTGGGCCAGGCAGCCTTTATTTTTAAGCTGGCAGCATGGAAAAGGGGTGTGATGGTCTTCTCTGCAAACCAGAAGCAGAATGCTGGCAGCCCGTGCTGTCCACGGGGCTGCCCGGCTGTGCAGGTACGGCAGCTCCGGGCTGTGGTGGCAGCGAGCACGGCTGGCCTGAGGTGCACGGCCTTGCCTGACCCTCTGGGGTTTTCCTGTCACAGGGTTGACGAGGACAGCGCTTTGCACAACGATCTTCAAATCCTCAAAGAGAAAGAAGGAACAGATTTCATCCTCCTCAACTTCTCTTTTAAAGTAAGGCTCCCCTTCCCCGAGAGATGCCTGACCCGTTCTCCTCAGAGAACTCAATGGCTCTGCTTCCCTTCTCTCATTGCAGGATAACTTTCCTTTTGATCCACCATTTGTAAGGGTTGTATCCCCGGTGCTGTCAGGGGGGTGAGTAACTGTCTCTCTCTCTCTCCTCTGCAGTGCTGCTTCCTGCAGCAGTTTCACTGGGTTTATCCAGAGCTGTGCAGCCCCGTGACTTCCTTGTCATGGGTTTGCCATTGGGAAGCAGACAGCAATGATGGAGTTTTTAGCATATTTTTTCCATCAGAAATCTAATCAGAGAAGGTGTTTCACCTCTGGAGCAGTGGTTGGGTACGATCACATCTGTCTGTGTGGTAACTTTGTCTGATTCCTTCCCAGGTATGTTTTGGGTGGTGGTGCCATCTGCATGGAGCTGCTTACGAAACAGGTGGGTGCTGGTCCCTGGGGGAGCTGTTCTGCATACCACACTCGGTATTCCTGACAGCTCCTGCCCTACCACTGCCTGCCAGAGCTGGGGAAGGCTCTGGGGGCTCTGGGAGCACAGGTGGGTGGGTCTGGCCTCACTGTGTGTTTCGTCCCTAAGGGCTGGAGTAGTGCCTACTCCATCGAGTCGGTGATCATGCAGATCAGTGCAACGCTGGTGAAAGGGAAGGCACGAGTACAATTTGGAGCCAACAAGGTAGGGCCTGGGCAGTGTAGGAGAATGGGGGGTGGCAGATGGGGGCACAGCCAGGTCTGGCTGCACAGGGAAGGTGCATGGGATGGCTTCCCCAAGGTTCCTGCTGGACTGACGGTCTCCTTGCCTTCCCTTGCAGAACCAGTATAGCCTGACAAGAGCACAGCAGTCCTACAAGTCCCTGGTTCAGATCCATGAGAAGAATGGTAAGGACTGAGGGAGAGGGCCTGCATGTTCCCTTGCTTGTTTGAGCTCCCCAGACAAGCCACTCGAGTTTTATCCTGCCTTAGGTGCGGAGGTGACAGCAGCAGTGGCAGCTGCTGTAACATAGTGTGGCTGCAGAGTGCTGCTGTCCTCTCTGCTGCCCAGTGCTGGTCTCTGGTGGCTGTAACTAGAGGCAGCACCTCACTGATGGCTTGGACTCGATGGTCTGAGAGGTCTTTTTCAACCTGAATGATTCTGTGTTTGCCTGTGTGGTGTTGGGAAGTCAGCCAGAGGGAAAGCCTCCCAGTCATCAGGAATATGTGGCCCTTAAGAAGTGGGACTTGGCTGCTTTTGACAGCTTCTCCAGGTGCAGTTTCCTCCCTCACAGATCTCTCCTCATTCCAGGCTGGTATACACCACCCAAGGAGGATGGCTAGTGTGGATGCTGCAGGACCAATCTGAATATCTTCTGGATGCTCTACTTGGATCTTAGTGATGCCTCTTGGCTTTCTCCCAGGATGTAATAGCTCTGCCTGTTGCAGGACAATACTGGCTGTTCAAAACTCTAAATAACTGTTTAAGGAGTTGGACTGACCCAGAACACTTGCTGGGCCCATGCTAGCAGGCATTCTTATTAAAACAAACTCTTGAGCCTCTTGTATTGCTGGAAACTTTTGACTCTACTCCAGTCTAGAGCATCCTCCTTACCTATGCTATGGATTTAATTTATTTTCTTATTTCATGTACACTGCTTTTTTTTGTTACGGTGTATGATGGATGTGTATGGAAAATGTATCTTTGGAGAAAAATTACAGTTTGTTAATTTGAGAATGCTGGTCTAACTAATTTTTTCCAAGCTCCTGCTGGGTGGGTTGTGCCCTGCAAACCCTGCTGCAGCCCTGGTCCCAGGGTGAGGCAGTCGGTGGAGCTGTGGCGGGCCCAAGCCCTGCAGGAAGACTTGGTGCAATTGCCTTGGGAGAAGAAAAGCCCTTTTCTTTTTTGGCACAAAGGGAGCAGGGTTTCTGCCCCATCTTCCCTGGGCAAACCCAGCTTTTCTGTATAAACTGCAGACTTGCACCTCGAAGCACAGAGGGGGACATCTGTGAGGCTGTCCTCTCCTGCAGTGGAGGAAGGGTCTGTGGGTGTATCCCAGGGCTGCCAGCTCCCACCCCACACTTCTCCCTGTTCTCTTGCCAAGCAGTAAGATGAGCTGAGGCCTGAGCTTTGTCCTGTTTCTCTCCACTAGCCACGCATGGAGGCTGAGCCCCTTGTCCCCATCCCTGCTGTGCTGTGGCTGCAAGCTTCTGCAGGGAGTGGAGCATGGGCACTGCTCTGTCCTGCCCCTGCCCCCCTCCCTGGCCAGGACCCGTTCCAGCAGTGAACACCCCGTTCTATGGGGTTTTCTTTTACTCCCCTTAAGCTGTTGTTCCTGCTCGCCTTTGTACTCCAGCCCTCCGTGGATGGGGTTGCTGCAGTTGTGGCCTGTTTCCCTGAATCCCCACGGCCCTGTTTTGAGTCAGCTGGAAGGAGATTTGGCTGTTGGAGCTCCTCTAACTCGGGCCACGTCCTCGTCTGGAGGACAGAAGTGACGCACTAGTGTCAAAGATGGAACCATGCATATTAATTCACTGTGTTTGAATAAAAGTCATTAGAAAATCAAAGAGCCTCAGAACTCCATTATCTACTTCAGCAGCTGTTTCCCTGTCCTGCTCAGAGCCTTGGAATAAAAAGATGCTGTTAGGGATTACTCACAGCTGCAGGAGTGGCTCTGGCCTCATCTTTGGGACTATTTTGAGTGCTTTACTGAAGGACCAGAGGATTTGTGAAGCTGAGCAGCTCTGGCCTGTGTTCTCCAGCCCAGACCAGCACCTCCTGGGGTTCTGGGTCTTCTCCAACCCTGTTCCTGGTACCTGGGGCTGGAGGGGCAGAAGTAGCTGCACTCAGTTCCCACCTTTAGCTCAGGAACCTGCTAGGTAGCAGGTTAACTGAGTTTAAATAAGATTTAAAACACTTGTGGGGCTTTCTCTTCGGTGAAGTAAGGACTGCTATGCTGAGCCCAGTGGTGGGGTTGGGTTGGGATTGGGTATGTTGAGTTGGTTGGGAGAGCTCATGGCACACACTCCCAGGTGATGGTGGCTTTACAGGCTGGGAAGAGCAGAACTGAAGAGGGCCCTGCAGGACGCTCTGTCACTGGGATGCTGAGCTGACAAGCATCGAGGCTGAAAGTGAAGCAGGAGCAGGTGTCTCCCAGGCCATCTGCCAGTCCTGTCTGTTCACACCTGCCCAGCGAGGAGCCATCCCACTCTGAGCTGGGCTTGGCCTTCATTGCCCCCAGGCTGGCTCAGGGAAGCAGGTGTGCAGAGCCGCCTGCCACCACTGCCAAAGGCACTCTCGGGGCTGTGCTGGGAGTGGGAAGAAGTTGCTGGTGGGGAAGTAGAATTTTCCTAGGCCTCAAAAAGGCAAAGCTGAAGCCAGGCGAGATCCCACGGGCAGTTCGGGCACCAGCCTGCCAGCGGCATCGCACCGCTGCGAGGCACATCCTGCCCAGCCGCGCTCGCGAGGAAATTGCCATCACTTCCTACGGCGCTGCCAGCGCCCAGCACCTCCCTCTGTACCGAAGAGGAGCTCGTATTCTGCACAAACTCCCCTCCTGGAGCTATGGGAGCAATTTTGCCACAAATCCGTCTCCTCTTCCGTGCAGTTGCAAAGGGGGAGAGGTTGCTGTAAGGGCCCCCCGGCACTGCAGCCCGACAGAAGCCCAAACCACTGGGCTCTGCTGCGCTCTTCCAGCAAGGTGACAGCACGGCCAGACAGAGCTTGGCTGTGCGGTGTGAGGCACAGAGTGCCCCGGCTGCACGCAGCGCTGTGCCCCGCCGGGCTGTGCACCGGCTCCCTGTGAAGCCGTCTGTGCACAGAGGGCTGGCGGGGCTGTGCAGTCCCATCCATAGCGAGCAGAGCCATGCCCAGCCTCATCCCTCAGGGTCCGTGCCCAGGGTCTCTGGAGGGGCCCACGCACGCTGGTCTGTGCTGTCCTGCGCTGCCCTGGAGTCTCTGCGCGGGGTCCTCTCGTACGGTCCGTCCGGGGCCGTGTGTACGGTGGTCCCATCAGGCAGGCAGGGTCACGGGGTGCCTCAGCCCCAGCGGGACCGGACCCTCACCGAAGCTTCCCACGGCTCCCCGAGCCCGCCGGGGCCGCGGCCGCCTGCCCGCGCCGTTCCCCGGGGCCGCCCCTCCGGATCTGGGCGGGGAGCGCCGGCCCTGCCACCCCCTCCGGCCCCTCCGGCCCCGGCCCGGCCCGGCCCCGGCCCATCCCGTCGCAGCCGCATGGGGCCCCCCGGGCCGGCCTGACCCCTCTCCGAAGCCCCTCTGCCCCCGGAGACGGGCCCTGCCGAGGAGCCGCGACGGGACCCCCCGGCTGCCCGTTCCCGGCCGGGACCTCCGGAGCTCGGAGAGACCCCCCCGGGCCCCGTCCCCAGGGGCAGCGGACCCCTGGAATCTCCCCGGGACTGCCCCGGCCGGACTCCTCCGACAGCCGGCGAGACCCCCCGACTCATCCCATTGCTGGAGCGGATACGCCGGCCCCCTCCGAGACCCTTCCCCGGGGCCAGGGACCTCCGAGGGCACGCGGTTCCCTCCCCGGGCCGCAGGAGCCGGCACCCCTGGGGACCCACCAGCTGTCCCCGCCGGGGCCGAGGACGCCTGGAGCCCCCCACGAAGGCCCCGGTCCCCCGGCCCGCATCCCCGCTCCCGGGCTGGCCCCAGGCCGCAGAGGATCCCGTTCCCAGGGCTGGGGGCAGCCGGGCTGCCCAGCGCCCCCCGGCTGAGTCGACTCCGAGCCGGCGGGGCAGCCGTGGGGTGTCGCGGAGCCCCGGGGGGGCTGCGGGACCCGGCGTCTCCTCAGCTCCATGGCGGCCAAGTGGTTCAAGGAGTTCCCATCCAACCTGAAGACGGTTTCAGAGAAGGCTCGGCCGGGAAGCGGGAGCCTCGGGAAGAGCCGCAAGAATTCAACCGCTGAGCTGGGGGGCTGCCGGGCGGCTGGGGGTGGCAAGGAAGGGGGCAGCCGGCTGTCACGGGACAACCTGCAGGGTCTACTCCAGGCCGCCACCGGGAAGATGCGGAAGAATTCTCGAGTGGAGGGAGGCACACCGGAGGGACCCTCCAAAACCTACATCAACCGCCTCATCAAGGTGGAGGCTTCCGAGAAGAACGGGAAGGGACACCCCGGACCCCTGCCTGCCGGCCTGCCTGCCCCCGAGCAGGACAAGGGGAAGCCCCCCAAGACAGAGACGGTAAGGCAGGGACTGGGAGCCGGGGGCAGAGGGGAGATGTGGGGAGCGCGAAGCGCTGGCGGCTTTAACTGCTTTGGTCTCCGACTCATTAGCCTGGCTGACTTCATCCTTTTATCCTGCCCGGCTGCACTGCCTTTAAATTCCTTCAAAGCTGCCTTCATCCCAGCTGCCCTTCATCACCCATTCGGGGGTGGGGGGGTCGTCGGGCATCCTCATCATAGCCAGCCTGACCCCGGAGCTCATCTGCTGGTTAAACAAAGGCTGATGTAAAGCTTTTCTGGGAAGCTGGTCTTTCACCCCTGCACAGCCTTGGGAGGACTGGGAGCCAGTCGGCAGGATTGCTGTCACCCAGAAGAGTCCCAGAGCTCCCCCCAGGCTCCTCACCATCACTGAGGGGCGTAGGAATGGTCTGGACTGCCCCCACCCGAAGGTGCCACTGGGTGCATCTGGGGTTGTGGCACGGCTCCATTTGCCCCAGATAAGCTGCCGTCCTTCCCTGGGGACCCCAGTGTGCCTATTCCTTGCCTGGCTCTCCTGCCGGGGTCCCCACGGCCCCCTGAAGCCAGAAATGCCTGTTCTCTGCCCAGGTCATCATCCTGGAGGATTACGCAGACCCTTACGATGCCAAACGGACCAAGGGGCAGCGGGATGCTGAGCGCCTGGGGGAGAACGACGGGTACATGGAGCCCTACGATGCCCAGCAGATGATCACAGGTATGTGCCACGTTGAGCCATGCCACAGCAGCACAGCTGGCACCACTCCCCAGGCGGGAGTCTGTGGCTGCCCTTGGAGCCACCCGGCGCAGGAGGCTCCGGGAACAGGAAAGCCGCTTGCCGCTTCCTGCGGCTGCGCAGGGCCAGATAAGGAGCGGGAGCAAGGCCGGACACTGACCCGTGCTGGCCGGCCCCTCAGCCATGTCCGTGACCTGCTGCCATCACCCGACGGGCACATGTGGCCACTGCAAAGCCCTCGATGCCCCCCAGTCATCCCTGGGTACCACCCCCCAAGAGTTCCCAGTGGACGTGCCCCCCAGCCAGCGACACCCCGGCTGGCGTGGCGACCGTCCAGCTGGCCACAACAACAGGAACTGACTGGGCCGGAAGCTGGAAATAAAAGATTTGCTGCTGATTTTTTTTTCCGTGCGGGGCAGCCCAGGCTGTTCGGCGAGGACTGGCGCCGTGGGGAGAAGCAGGGGGCTGGGAGGGGCGAGCCCCTGGGGCGGCCTCCCGCACAGCTGAGCTCCAGCTTGGGGTGTAGCATCCTGCTGCCATGGAGCCCAGCTGGCCCCACTGGCGTGGGGCTGTGCCTGTGGCGCCAGCAGCCCCAGGGCTGGACAGCAGAGCAGGCGCCATGAGGATGGGCCCCTTCCTGCTCCAGCTCCTCCCGAGCTGGCTCCCAGCGGGGCGTTGCCGGCATGGAGTCCCCAGCACATCCCTCACCGAGGACTGGTAGTGGGACTGAGGGGTCTCAGGGGACACACAGATCCATCCCTGACCCACCATCCCTCTTCCCCACAGAAATCCGTCGTCGTGGCTCCAAGGATCCCCTGGTCAAAGCCATCCTTCTGCTGGACGGCCCTGGAGAGCCTGGGGAGGGGGGTGCCAAGTTGGATCTTGCCAAGAGGCTGGGGGGCAAGGAGGTGGCGGGGAAGGGGCCACAGCTCTATGACACCCCTTATGAGCCTGGGGAGGGGGTGGCCGGGGGGACCCCAGAGCGCAGGGTGAGGGCTGGTGATGGGCGCCTGCCTGAGAATGACGAGCGCCCGGCGGGGGAGTATGAGCAGCCCTGGGAGTGGAAGAAGGAGCAGATTGTCAAAGCACTGTCAGGTAGGGGACAGGGACAGGATGGGAGTGAGGATGGGGGGAAGGGACTGACGTGGGATGGGAATGGGGGTGGCAACAGGGACAGGGATGGGGGCAGCCTTTCTAGCAGGGCTTGTCACAAGAGGACAAGGTGCAATGGGTTTTAACTATAAGGGACACTTTAGATATAAGAATTTTCTTGGGCTGAGGGTGGCAAGGCACTGGCACAGGTTGCTCAGAGAGGTGGTGCCTGCCAGGTCAGGTTGGATGGGGTTCTGAACAACCTGATGTAATTGAAGATGTCCCTTCTCATGGTGGGGTGTTGGACCAGATGGGCTCAGACACATGGTGGGAGAAGGACTGGCAATGGGGGAGGTGCTGGGGACGGGGATGGAGATAGGGATGGGGATCAAAAGTGGAGGTGGGGCTTTGGGGGCTCACATCTTGTCCCTCCCAGTCCAGTTTGAGGGCTCGGAGCGTCCTAAGGAGGAGACGCTGCGGCAGCATCTCCGCCAGAAGAGCTGGACCCCCAAGATGCTGAAGCCGGCGGGCACCGAGCACAGCGAGGGGGAGCGGGTGGACCCCGCCCTGGCCCTGGAGAAACAGCCGTGAGTAGCGAGGCCGATCCACGCGTGGGGAACGGGGCGAGGAGGGATGGGGTGCCCGATGTTTGGCACGGCTCACGGCCCTCCCTGCGCCCCGCAGCTGGTTCCACGGGGCCATCACGCGGGCTGAGGCCGAGAGCCGGCTGCAGCCGTGCCGGGAGGCCGGCTACCTGGTGCGCACCAGCGAGACGGGCAGCGGCAAGTACTCCATCGCGCTCAAGTGAGTGTCGGGGTGGCCACAGAACTGGGGGGTCCCGGGGGTTCCCACCCTGGGGAGATCGGGTGAATCCCCACTCTGGGGCGCTGCTTCGGCGGGAGCTCCCCCGGGTTGTTCACGCCAAAAACCCCGATGGGGAGGAAGCACCCCGATCCCGAGGGATGGCACCCCCCGAGCCGCGGGGGGACCCAGGCATCCTGGTGCGAAGCTGGGGCGGAGGGGGGGTACGGCGTGTCCCCCTCCCCGGCACATTGTCGGGAGCGCCAGCGGCGTTTCCTTCCTGAGGAAGTGCAGCCCCTGGAGCCGAAACAATCAGAGCGGGACGGGAACAAACAGGGGTGGATACGGCCGCGGGGCAGGCGGGCGCCGGGGGGCTGGCGGCAGCACTGATGCCTGCTGGCCGCCCAGGACCAGCCAGGGCTGCGTCCACATCATCGTGGCCCAGACCAAGGACAACAAGTACACGCTCAGCCAGGCCAGCGGCGTCTTCGCCAGCATCCCTGAAGTCGTGCACTACTACTCCACTGAGAAGCTGCCCTTCAAGGGGGCTGAGCACATGGCCCTGCTGCACCCCGTCCACTGCAAGCTGCATTAGCGTCGGCCGGTGCCGCCCCCGAGTGGTCTGCGACCCCCACCCCTGTGGCATGAGACAGCGATGGGGGCACGTACCACAGGAAGGGTCCAGTGAGAGAACCCCTGTCATGTCTCCAGTCCTGAAGGGACCCCACTCCTGGACTCCAGCAGGGCTGGATTTGTCCCTTTTGCTGGGACAAGTCCTGACCACCCTGTGCCAGAACCGACTTGTCACGGGGCTGCCCACGTGCCCGAGCTGGGGGCACGCAGTGACTGGGATGTGTAATGATCTAGTAAAATAAACTTGTTGGCTGAGAGGGAGCAGTGGTTCTGGGGGTCTGGGATGGGCCTCGTGCTGGCAATCACCAGTTTTGGGGGCCAGGGGTACTGGGGCTCCCCCAAAAGCACATCTGCATCCTGCCGGGCTTTTTATAGCAGGGGCCCAGCAGAAGGGAAGAGGAACACTGTCTCCAGGGTGCCTGAGCACCCTCTTCCCTCGACCTGTGGTTTCCTGCCCGGGTGCAGCTGCAGCTCCCAGGGGTGTTGCACAACCCAGCACGGGGTGGGCAGTGCACGACAGAGGAGGCACGGCTGGGGGTGCAGGGCAGGGGGCTGTGGCAGGAAGGTGTGCACAGCACAGGGGGTACGGCCTGGGAGGCACCAGTGAACCACGGAGCACAGCCTGGGGTACATGGTGGGGGGCATAGTTGGAGTACAGCAAGGGAGGGGGTGAATGAAGTGGGGGTGCAACCCCCACTGGAGTCAGTGCCAAGCAATGGGGGGGCTGCAGCGACCCCTCTGCTACCCCACTCCTCCCAGCAGCCACTCCAGTATAAATCCAAAGCATTTATTTGAGCCACATTGTCCTGTTTCTCCAACATATGCTTTAAAAAGGAGCAGAGGTATGGGGCTGATCCAGCCAGGCCCTCCCTCCCCGACCCCCGTGGCACTGTAGGGATCAGACCCTTCCCTGTGGGACCCCAGACCCGGTCCTGGGCCAGCTCCCAAGCTCTGGTGCAGCCATGCTTCCAGTGCTGTCACTCCTGGCCATCCCAGCTTGGCCATGGTGTTGAAGGTGCCCCCAGGACCCCGTTTGAGTTTTTCCCAGCTGCTTCCCCATGGGGGATGGCATTGATTCTCCTCCTCAGAGGCTTGTCCCAGCCACAGAGCCACCAGGTAGTGGGGGTGAGAACTGCTCCCATAGCTACATCAAAGCTCTGGGACCCCCCCCATCCAACCCCCAGACACCTGCCAGCGTATTCAGCCCCTGGCTACTGCCCTGAGGAGGAATAATCTGCCTGAGTTGTGTGGAGCATTCCAGGGGCTGAGGGGGCAGGGTGTGAGAGCAGAGGGGTATCACTGAGTGTGGGTGGGGGTAAGCTTAGAGGGACCAGCATGTGCTGCCCCTCGCCCTCTGGCTTGGTCGTCTCCTGCCCACTTGTCCACCACATCTGCCTGTACCTGCAGGGGAGAAGAGCAGCTCCAGGTTAGGGAGGGGGCAGACACAAGCCCCCTGGACCAGCCCCCCTGACACTCACCTCACCACAATGCCAACAAACAGGGCGATGCCAAGGAGCAGACTGCCCCCGGTGACCAGGAAGGCATAGGGGGATGCCACAGGCTGGGTGCTGGATTCCATGACAGACCCTGACAGAGAGAGAATGGGAGGGCTTATTGTGAGGCTAAGGGACCTGGGTGTCCCTGCCTCCCAGCCCCAGCCCAGGAATCCTTCCTCACCACGAGCACCATTAGTATCATCCTCCCCGAAGAGGTTGGGGGGCAGTGTCACCCCATAGGTGCCATCCTCTGTGGGGACCTGCAAAAGGTGGGGGGGCACAATGGGACAGGTCAGCCCTCACGCTCTGGTGTCCCCGTGTCTCACATGGGGACAGGAGACCCCTTGAGGAGTGTGTGATGCTCAGACCATTGTTACCTGTGAGCTGAAAGGCTCCATTTCAGAGGTGAGGTCCCAAGGGTCTGCAGAGTGAGGGATGAGTATCAGACTGGGAGAGCCCATGCTGAGCCCCCAGTCTCAGAGCCCCACGTTCCCCTCCTACCTGTCCAGGGGGTACCCACGGCCTCCTGGCTCCACTCGCTCCACGTGCCATGGCCGAACTCATCCTTCGCCCTGACCTGCACCACGTGCCTCGTCCCGCGCCACGCGTCACGGATGTCGAGCCAAGTTGTTGTCACCTGATCCACCTGGAGGGGACACAGTGCTGGGGACAGTCTGGCCAGGGACAAGCAGCATGCCAGCAGGCGGGGTCTCACCTCCATGAAGGTCGGGGCAGGCTCGGGGCGGTAGCGGACCTGGAAGCGGAGCCAGTAGAAACGGGGGTCCCAGGAGGGGGGGTAGGACCAGTTCACCCGCAGCCGCTGCGGCGCCTTCTCCAGAGCCTCCACCGTGACATTGACCGGGGGGTCTGGCTTCACTGCCGGGGAAGAGGGGGCTCAGGGCCTCGCACTGCACCCTCGGCCACCCCAGCTCCCAGCAACGGGCAGCACTCACGGACACCGCTGAGGGTGATGATCTTGTCTTTGCCGGCCGAGCCACCGGCGCTGTTGCTGACGCACGTGGACACCACCAGGGGTTTGGTATCATCAGTGCCAGGTGGCACCTTCAGCCGGCAAACGAACTTCCGTGCCTTGGAGAAGTAGCGGCACCGCTGCTCTGTGGCATTCTCAGCCGCAAACCTGCGAGGTCACAGCTCAGGAGGGGCTGCAGCATGCTCTAGGCATAGGGCAGCCGTGGGGGACATGTCCTATGCTGTGGGGTCCCCAGCAGTGTCGGAAAAAGGGTCTGGGGGAGGGATACATTCTGTGCCATGGGGTCCCAGGCAGCACTGGGCAATGGGGCCATAGGGAAGGAACACATCCTGCGCTGTGGACTCCCAGCTACCCGTAGCTGCTAGGGAAGGGGTCTGCAGGGAGGCAAGCAGCCTGAGCCATGGGGTCCCAGATGGCACCAGGGAAAGGGTCCATGGATAGGGACATGTTCTGTCCTATTGGGGTCCCAGCCCATGGTGGATGCAGTGACAGCACTCACCTCCGCTTCACCCAGAGCGTCGCCCGTGTCCCTGGGGATGGCTTCTTCTGCTGTGGCCACTCACACAGGACATCCTTGTCGTGGCTCCGCCGGTAGCAGAAGACCTGGGGAGTTTCAGGGGGCTCTGCAAGGCAGGGAGGTGCTGGGGGACAGGGGCCATCACAGGCAATGCTGCGAGGGACATTCCCACCCCAGCGTGGACCCACCTGCCACCAGCAGCCGCAGGGAGCGCAGCAGGTGGCTCCCCACGGAGCAGCTGTAGTGCCCAGAGTCCTCGTAGCGCAGCCGCCGCAGGAGCAGCGTGTTTCCCTCTGCCAGCTGTCGTCCCCAGCTCCCCTCTGCCCCCTGCTCCTCCACCTGCCACAACACCGTGGCATTTGCAGGCACCTCGTCCTGGCAGGTCAACGTGATGTTGGCTCCCAGGTGGCCCAACACCGTGTCCCGCGGCAGTCCTGGAGGAACAAGAGGGGACCAGGCGATGAAGATGAGACCCCAGGCCCGATGGGTGGCCCTGGAGATGGAAGGCACCCGATCATCTGCTCTCCATGTCCGGTGACTGCTGGGGGTCAGGGCACTGAGCTGGAGAGTGGCAGTGGCTCCTCACGGTGTGGAGGGGTCTGCTGGCAGGGAGCACAGCTCAGGGAAGGTGGCACACTGGGACCGGTGGTCCCGGGAGTCCCTGGGTGGGGGTCACTCCAGTGCCAGAGGGGTTAAGCGACTGCGCTGGCCGGCAGCCCGGGTGAGGCCTGGGCAGCGCTCCCGGCTCCCTCCAAAGGTCAGCGGCCAGCGTGAACTTGCTGTTCCCTTCGGCTCCTGCTGCTGGGAACGCAGGCAGCACCCACCAGAAGCCGGGACACAGCACCAAGACACAGCACCCGGGACGGGACACAGCACCGGGACACAGCACCGGGACACAGTGCCCGGGACACAACACCGGGACACAGCACCCGGCCCCCAGGGGTGCCGTACCACCACCCGCCCCCCTCCCCGGGCCCGGCTGAGCCCCCCTGGGGCAGGCACGGAGCCGCATGTGTCCCCTCGCCGAGCCCGGACCCACGAGGCCCAGGTACGGGCAGAGGCTCAGGGCCACCGCCGCTCCCGCCCTGCCCGGTGCCGGCCGCACTCACCGGCGGGGCCGCAGGGCCGCCCGGCGGCGAGGTGGAGGAAGAAGCGGAGAGGGAGGAGAAGGAGAAGCGGCCCCGGCGGCCGCGCCATGCGCCCGGTCCCGGGTAGGAAAACATCGGCGGCGGCCGCGGTTGTGAAAGCGGGCGGGGGCGGGGCGGCACGTGCGCCCGGGCCGGGCGGGCCGACACCGCCCCCTCCCCGCCGCTCTGCCCCGCGTACAGGACACGGCAGGATCTGCTCGGATTATTTTCTTTTTTTTTAATAAATAAAAAAAAAAGCTGTTTTGGGTTGTTGGTTTGTTGTTGTTTTGGTTTTTTTTCCCCTCAAGAACCATAAAATGATACCATCCCGCCAGACAGAAACCTGCCATAGCCCACCTCTATCCGCGGCCCCTCCACCAAAACAACCCTAAAACCCCCCAAATCCCCTCCAGCCCTCGCCAACACCCGTCTTAACAAGCTCCTCTTTGGTATCGCGTCCCTGGGATCCCAACAGGCCCAGAGACTCCCCAGGGTCCCCCATTGTCCACCTGCACTTCAGCAGCGCTCAGTCCCTCAGGAGCTGGAGAGGAGGATCAAGGAGGAAGCAGAGGCCGAGCGTTGCGCAAGACCACGCGTGGGAGTGAATCACGGCAGCCGCCAAACCCCAGCCTCCCTGTGGCACAGAACACTTCCCCTTTCCGAGCCAGCACCCACCGTCCTGGGGAACTGAGGCAGGGGGACAAGGAGGGTGACCTTCCTCCCCCCCTCTCCCTGTACCCAGCCAAGAAATGAGTCGCTCTGCAAACTCAGAGGTTTTTTCCCTTGGCTTTTTTGTTTGTTTGTTTTGGTTGCTTTTTTTTTTTTTTTAAGGGGGGGGGTATTTTTTTCCTTTTTTTTTGTTTATATAAAAAAAAGACACGTGGGTGAAGGCCATGGAGAGGCCACAGTCCTCCCACAGCCCTGCACCTCTGGTACGATACATTCATGTGGGATGGGGCGTCTGCACTCAGTGGAATTGAATACTGATGGAGGAGTGAGCGGGGGGGGGGGGGGGGGCGAAGTAGGATACCCCCTCGGGGGGGGGGGCTGATATGATGACATCCATCCATCCATCCATCCATCCATCCATCCATCCATCCACCCATCCACCCATCCATCCATCCATCCATCCATCCATCCACCCTCCCCGGGTGTATTTTTTGGCTAGAAAGCGACAGTCCAGACTCCTCCAAACCTCAGCACTGGCCCCCACATCACCTCTGCTCCTACCATGGGACCCGGCTGACAAGGGGCTTTGCCCTCCCCAGGGCCGGGGCAGAGGAGGGGAGCCCCCAGCTGCAGAGGAGGGGATGTGACCCCCTCCAGCCTCACACCCTGAGAGTCTTGTCGGCTGCGCCACCGGGGCTGCCGGCACTGCTGCCCTCGCAGCCCTTCTTCTTCCGCAGGGTGTCAATCCAGCTGGCGCTGGGGCGGGGAGCAAAGCTGGAGAGCGCCAAGGAGCTAAGCCGCATGTTCTTGCCAGACATGATGAGCTCCCCAAAACCCTCCTGGTGGGAGAAGGCGTAGCCAGAGCGGCGTGAGCCCGCACGCCCTGCGTGCCGCATGCACCGGTGCTGCGTCTTCTGCTTCTTCCGTACCAGCTGAGTGTAGCGCACCTGGGGACACAGGGCAGGGTCAGGGCCCGGGGAACCACCTCTCCTCAGGGCTGGGGCCCTGTGACTGCTCCTGCAGCCATGGGCTCTCACCGTATCAGAGAGCTCGGGTTTCAGGTCCAGCTTAAGGAAGCGAAAGGCCACAACGGGCACGATACAGACTACGGCGGTGAGGGCGATGGTCAGCCAGACCGTGGGCTGGGCCAGCGTGTTCTGCGCGTTACCTGGGGGAAAGAATGAACCCGCTGAGGGCTAGGCCAAGGCAGCACCCTGCTGGGGTGGGGAGCACAGGGCACACAGGGACTCACCCACAAAGCGGAACTGATTGGGGAACATCCGGAAGAGGCCGTCGCTGTGCATGGTGAAGAGGATGGCGAAGTAGGCGGCCAGGCTGCCCCAGATGAAGAAGTGGTTGATGGCTGTCCAGAATCCTGTGTCTAACCCGATCTAGTGGGGGGAATGCAGGAAGAGACAGGGCTCAGGGAATGCCTGAGGTGCCCCGAGGGTCTGGGGCCGAGTAGCCACATCCCCACCTGCACACTGACAACAATCACGAGGGAGGTGGCGACAGTGACGGCAAAGGACTGGTAGTCGGCCAGCTGGGCACCGTCATCACGGGTGGCATCAGCGAAGACACCGTAGGGGATGAAAAACATGAGGATGGAGGTGTAGATGCCCTGGGCAATGCAGATGAAGAACTCCCGCTTGTTGAAGAGCAGGTTCAGCTGCCCAGGCTCGTAGAGTTTGGGGTACTCCATGCTCCGCTGCTCTGGCACATCCTGGGGGCATGGGCACCTCCCTTTAGCCCAGGGCAGGAGCAGGCTCCACCACAGCCCATGGAATGACAAGGACAGCCCAACTCAGGCACCCAGGCAGCCCTTCGTCCCACAGGGTGGGTACAGACTCCTCACTACCTCCCACCATACCTGGTCAAAGACACCCATGGCGAGCACAGGCAGCGACGTGTAGACAATGTTGTACAGCGTGATGAAGTACTGGTCATACACTGTCTGTGTGGAATAGAGCACTCAGCAGGGCACGAGACCTGCCCGCCCTGTGTCCCAGCCAGCCCCCGAGTCCCTGTGCCCACAGCTGCAGGGACAGGAGAGCTGTCTCCAGCCCCCCAGGACTGCCCACCCTGACCACAGGCTCCTCACACACTGCACGCTGGATGCCAGGCTGTGTCCTGGCTCAGGATGAGTCCCCACAGGGAGTCCATGGACCTGAACACACTTCAGAGCCGAGGAGCCCTGCAGGAAAACCCTCCCCAGCTCCCAGTGAGAAAAGCCACCAACCCACCTGTGCTGAGAAGCCACAGAAGAAGCCAAACCAGAAGTGGACCATGGTGAAAGCGAAGTTCTTATAGAAGAAGTAGCAAAGAAACTTGCACATGCGCAGGTAGGACCAGCGCCCATGCACCAGGAGCAGGCGCTGGAGGAACTTGAACTGGGAGAAGGAGTAGTCGGAGGCCAGCACGGCCTGGATGCCTTCCTGCCCACTGATGCCCACCCCAATGTGGGCAGCTGTGGAGGGAAGGAGAGAAACATAGAGAGGGCTGCCAGGAGCACAGGGGACGAGAGCAGCACCCCCAGCACAGGCACTTTGTTCCTGTGGGGCACAGAAGGGTGAGGACAGAAGTTCCCACGGGCCCCAGGATGGTGCACGGGGGTGGCCTGTCTTCTCCTGTGGTCCCCCAGATCCCAGGCCTTACTCTTGATCATGCTGACATCGTTGGCCCCATCCCCAATGGCCAAAGTGACGGCTTTCTTGTACTTCTTCACCAGCTCCACCACCTGGGCTTTCTGCAGGGGTGTGACACGGCAGCAGATAACAGCCTTGCAGGCACACGCTGTCTCCAGGAATTCCACCTCCATGTCTGCCTCCAGTGCATGGGCCTGCAAGGAGAGCAAGGGACAGCTGGGATCATGGTACACAGTCAGGCACAGGGCCTCGTCCTGCCTGGCACTCCCAGGGCCCTACCAGGCTGTGCCCGTTGATGACCAGGGCATATTCGCCTGCAATGGCTTCCAGCACAGAGGTAAGCTTGGAGGAGAGTTTCTCCTGGTAGGAGAAGCCATTGCACACAGAACGTGATGCATCCATCATCTTCTCCCGGGCTTTCCTGAGGGGAGAGAGGGCACAGGGTTTCATCTCAGGGCTCTTCCATAGCTCTAGCTCCCCCAGCTGCAGCTGTGCCCCACGCTGGCACTGGTTCTGTGACCTCTGCCCTCCAACCCTCACCTTAGCTCCTCTCGCACCTCCAGCACAGTGTGGCCTGTGACCACAAACACCTCTGTCATGTCATCTGTCAGCATCTTGCAGGAGTAGCCGATGTTCACAGCTGTTTCTGAGGACAGAAAATCAAGGGCTGAGCCAGAGTCCATTCAGGAGAGAGCAGTAGGGATCCCAGGCAGGTGGAATCCAGCCCAAAAATATTCTCATCTCCAGCCACGACCTCAGCCACGCCTCACCCTGCTTGTCCCCTGTCAGCACCCAGATCTTGATGTTGGCCAGCGTCAGGATGGCAATGGTTTCGGGGACCCCCTGCTGCAGTTTGTCCTCGATGGCTGTGGCTCCAAGCAGCTTGGGGACCCAAACGGGTGGGAGGTCAGCAGGGGCTGCCCCCAGCCACCACCAGCCTCAGCCTCCAGCCCACCTACCATCATATCATGCTCCACCTCATCGTAGAGCCGAGCCAGCTGATCCTCACGGGCCTCAGGGGCACTGCCAGCTCGATGCAGCCGCTCGGACCAGTCCTTGTAGTAGCTCTCCTCCAGGTCTTTGTAAGCCAGCACCAGCGTCCGCAGCCCCTCGCCAGCGTACTCCTGCAAGCAGTCAGAGCTGGGTGTGCTGGAGACCCTGATGGTGTCCCCAGACCCCAGCAGTGCTCCTAGGACAGGGCACAAGCCCAGCTCAGGCTCCTGGGCAGCCACTCTTTCCTCCCCACGCTGCCTGCAGGACCCTGCCCTACGCACATTGAGGTGGTCGGTGGTGACGCTGGTCAGGTCCTGGTTGAGGGGGTGCAGCCGCTCCAGCAGGATGGTGTCAGCACCTTTGCAGTACAGGCGGATCTTGCCCTCAGGGCTGCGGACTGCAGGGAGGAAGGGAAAAGATGCCTGGCTCAGGGGTGCAGGAGCAGGTCCCGCTCTGACCCCCAGCCACCAACCTGCTGATGCCTCCACAGTCACATCCCCACAGCGTTGGACTGGTCCCCCAGCACACACAATGAGCCCACGTGGCCCTCCCAGCCCCCGTGCCGTGCCCAGGACCGCACCGATGACAGACATGCGCTTGCGGATGTTGTTGAAGTCCAGGATGGCCAGCAGCTGGTAGGTGACGGCCTGACCCAGCTCCTGCACTGTGATGGTCTTGGGCGTGCGCGACCGGAACACAAAGCCAAAGTTTCTGGCAGCCGTGACCAGCGCTCCCTCATCTGGGGACTGTGCCTTGTACAACAGCTCCCCTGTGGACAGCATGGGGGTCAGTGACAGTGACAGTGTCTTGTGACCCACAGGGACAGATCCTGCCCCACGCCTACCTTCACTCTTCTCCTCGGACATGACGGTGTGACAGAGCGAGAGCAGGCGGAAGAACTCGTGCACGTGGAGGTCTCCCAGCTTGACAGCTTCCAGCAGGCTGGGGTCCCAGAACTGGAACCGTGGGTCCGCCAGTGGGTTGAAGGAGAAGTCTACTGGCTCTGGCCTCTGCAGGGGCAAAATTTGGGTTACCCCCCATGGCACTTAGCATGGGCAGGCACCACACTGAGAGCACCCTTACCTCTCCCAGCTCTGCCTTGTGACCCAGCATGTCCTGCACATCACCTGCAAAACAGGGTATGGAGTTAACTATGACAGAGACCCAACACCAACACCACGGCAGCTGCTGCTGCCCCACAATGCTCTCGCTAAGCCCCCCTGTCCCCTGACTGCCCCAAACGCAGGTGGGGAGCCCCAGCCTGGCTCTGGTATCTGGTGCTCACCATAGCTGTGCCCGTTCACAGAGCACTTGCTGAAGACCATGATATTCTGGGTGAGGGTGCCAGTCTTGTCAGAGAAGATGTACTCCACCTGCCCCAGCTCCTCGTTGAGGGTGGTGGTGCGGGCTTCGGCCGGCGTCCGGCGCTTGGCACAGTACATCTTCTTGTCCCAGTTGATGAAGTAGCTGTGCCCAAGCCGGATCACCTCAACGCTGCAGGGAGGATGGCTGGGTGTCACTGGGGCAGGGCAGCATGCTCTGCTGAGCCAGCGACAGGCAGACACATGCCCACCCCAGACCCTCAGTGCCCTGGGCACTCCAGCACCCCCGGTGCCCCCCACAGCTTTCTAGCTCCCACACCCTTCCCAGGGGCTGGCCTGCAACCCATTCCTGCTGACAGCCACCGCTAAGCCAGGGCTGGGGACCAAGGCAAGGCACCCAGAGGGAAGCCCATGGGGCTCCCCAGGCATCTCACACACCTACAAACCCTGAACCCCTCCCAAGCCCACAGGGCAGACAGCAATGAGTGGGAGGGGTGGAGGTGACACATTCTTACCTCGGGGCTAAGGGTGACAGAACCCATGCTGGGGAACGAAAAGAGAGAGAAATTAAAAGAGAGAGAGAAGGGGACAGTGCAGGAGCCTGGGAGCTGCAGGAGGGCAGAGCAAAATAGCCAGCGTGCAGCCAGGGCAGGGAGAGACGAGCAGCCAGACACACACAGCCGGGGGGGCTCTGAGGGACCTGTGGGGTCCTCAGGTCTTGGGGTGTCCCTGAAGGCAGACATGGCCTGTCACCAAGAGATCAGCCCACACCCACCCACAGAACACACTGTTCTGCCTGTGGATTTCCATCCCTGTCTCCCCTCCCCAGAGGGCACCCCTAATTTCTCATACACCCCCTGCCCAGCCCCTCTGCCCCCTGCCCTACCTCACATAGAGCGAGATGGGCACCACAGTGTTGAGGATGATGATGTAGGACCAGAAGGAGAGGAAGCCAGAGAAGAAGGCACTGTGCACCCCCTCGTCCCAGGGCAAGTAGATCTGGAAGCAGACGCCCACCTCGTGCTCCCAGATGGCATTGCCAATGGCCAGGATCACTCCCATGCATACCAGGAACCCAAAGATCTGGGGACACGACAGTACATCAGAGCCCTGACTGGGTCAGAGCCAGGGCTCCCAGGATCTCCCTGCTGCATACCCAGAGCACCAGCGTGTTCATCAGCCGGTCGATGCTTGTCCGCTTAAATTTGGTCCGGCCGCTGTTCTGCATCAGTTTTGTGTCAGGTCCTGGGGAGCAGGAAGGCATCAGGAGGTGTCTTTCCCTCCCCTGTGTGCAGCACAGCAGCAGCTGCTGCCTCAGCCCACCTGCAAAGATGACGAGGCCAAAGCACCACTCAGTGTTGCGCAGGACGCAGCCCCGCAGCAGCATGTTCTGGTTGCTCAGGGGGTACTTGTTCTCCTTCCAGTACAGTGTCCCACCAAACTTGTCCAGCTTGTTGTTGGGGGGTTCACAGATTACCTCACCTGGGTGCACAGTATGGCTCAGTTGGGACTTGCCTTCTCCATAGGGCCAGCTCCATCCCAGTGCTCCCAGCACCATCCCTGGCTCCCCAGAGATCCGCTTGGAGCCAGAATGACAGTGCCACGTGGCTGGTCCTTGTCTACCAAGGGTGACAGAGGAATGAAGGTGGGGGCTGCCCCGTGGCAGAGGGCTGGGCACAGGCACTCACCATCAAAGCGAGCCAGCTGGCTGGTGTCCCCCAGCTCCGCGGTGACGGGGATGGCCTGGCGCACCTTCATGTTGGTCTCTCTGCAGGCAGGAAGGCACCACATGTGGGTTAGAGACAGCCTGGCAGGGAGAGCCTTTGCAAGGCCTGCCCAGCAGCTCCTGCCATGCCTGCAGCCCACTCTCACTCCCAGCTCTTGCCCTCCCTGGCCCCCAAGGCAAGGAGGGACACCTACCCATCCAGCTCTGCAGTCTCTATGTAGCATAACCCATGGGGTTCACTGCTGGAGAGGAGGAGGAGGTCAGCCTGCTGGGAGAGATTTGTGAAGGGTTGTGCCAACACTGGGGCTCCCTCATGCCTTCCTCATGGAAGCCCCTGGCCCTTGGATGTCCTTGGAACTCCCTGGAGCATCTGCAAAGGCCATCCCTAACCCCACGTGTCCTTTGCACCTGAGCCTAGCCACCATTGTTCCAAGTGCCCAGATCCTCAGAGTTCAAAACATGGCTCCACTATGGCCCCAACTCTCCAACCTAAATGCAACTTCCAGGTTGGAAGTCCCTAATGTCCCCACCCTGGGCAGTGGCAGAGGAGCACAAAACGAAGTGGGAGTGGCACCACACCCTTCCATGGTCCCTGTGTGCCAGCCACCCTGCTGGAACCATACTTGTCTCAGGGCTGCACTCACCGCCACAAACTGGTTGTTCTCCAACTTGATGATGTCTCCAACACGGACGTTCATCCACTGCTCCTGCCGAAGGCTGTAGAAGGGACAGCAAACTGTAGTCAGGCAGGAGCCTGCTCTGCCCACTGCCACGTCCCACAGGTCCCTGGCTCCCTGTGCACTGCTCTGTGCCCGTGACACTCACACTCCACCGATCAGGACCTGAGACTGCCGGTTGTTCACCTGGTTGTCACTTTTATGGCGGAACTGGGAGCAAGGGGAAGAGACAGCAGTGTCAGCCTCTTGGGGATGGGGTCCTGTGCTCCCCCCCACCTCAAATGCCATGGCCCTGGACACTGCACCCCTGCACAGCATCCCAACCCCCTGCCCAGTGGGCAGAGAGGCGCAGGGGGAACCACTCACATAGTCATCGGTGGCATCTTTGACAGCTGTGATGGTTAAGACAAGAACCAAAGGCACGATGGTGGTAAACCAGGAGAGTGAAGAGATCTGAGGAATCAGCTGGGGACAGGGAACAAGAAATTACACAGGAACGAGCCAGCCCCAGGCCCATACTGTCCCTGCTGGAGGGTGCCAAACCTCCCCACTTCCAAAGTATGGCACTACTTGGAGCCCTCCCATATGTCCAGGCAGGGAAGGACTGCACTCACCTGCAGGATGAGGAGGAAGAGGAAATAGGTGTTGGCCACTTCCTGGAACTGCTCGAAGAGGTTGACAGGCAGGAAGGTGACAATGTTGTACTTGGAGGTCTTGATGCAGTTGCTCTAGGGACAGCATGGGGCAAGAAAGGGGTTTACAGGCTGCCGAGGCCCCATAGCCCCCCAAGATGGGATCACTCTGGAGGGCCGGGGCTGTGGCTCACCATGTTCTTTTGCCATGGTAAGGGTAAAACTCACGGGAGGTCAGGCTCCCGCTCCTGTGCTACCTCTGGCAGCTTCCTTGGGAAGCCAATTCCTCAGGCTCAGTCACCAGCCGGTACCCTGGGACCAGCCTCCTCCAGCAGCAGCACCTGGCCCCCACAAGGGTGACCTCAACCCAGACCCCCTTCTCCCCTCTCTGCAGCCAGCTCTGGAGCAGCCAAGGATAACCTCCAACGTGGGGGAAGGTCAAGATGAGCACTGCCCTCCCCTGGCACCTTCAGAAGCTGCCCCATGATCCACACTGGGATGCGGGACCAGGCTGGGATCTGGGCGGAGCCGGAAGGTTCTGGACCTTGGCCAAGGATGGGCGGGCTGAATCCTCCACATGGAGTGCACTGTGCCCGGACAGCCCCAGCTATATTGGCATTCATGTCATCCGCACCACTTTTTCAGGAACAAACATCTATTTTGTAGTTATAATGCCTCCCCCACTCCTCACCCCCCCACCGAGGTGTGGGTGATTCAGACCCCAGCCCCACAGACCTGCCCGAGGACCCCGGGAAGGGGTTCAGCCCCCCCTCACTCACTGCGTACTGGAACTTCTCGTTGTACTCCCGCGCGTTGGCTCGCACTCGACGCTCCTCCTCTACAACACAGCGCCGTGTCACCCCCATGCACCCTGACACCCCCTGTATCTGCAGCCACACAGCCCCAGGACCCTGAACCCTGACACTCCAATCTCCTCTCCATCCTGAGAGCCAGAATCCCAGAAGGCAGGGAACAGGGAGTCTCCCCAGCTGTGTCATGTGGTCCTGTGCTCCCCCATGCCAGGACCTGTACCCCTGCACACCTTGAACCCCAACCTTGCTTAACTGCACCTCCACTCCCAAATTCTGCATCCCCAGATGCCCCCAAGCCTGCACTGCGAGACCCCCAGCTCTACTTACCTGTACTCCCAGAGCCCCAGATTCTGCATCTCCCTGCTCCCCCAGCTCGGCACCCCGAGGTCACCGGACCCTTCCAGCCCAGATACTGCATCCCCAGAGGACACCTCTGCTCCCTCAGCCTTGCTTTGCTGCATTCCTGGATCCCCAGTCCAGCACACCCAACCCCCCGAGGTCCGCACTCCCAGCCCCGCTTAGCTGCAGCCACGGCCCCATTTCTGCTCCCCCGCCGCACCCATCCCGCACCACCCGCCCCGCCGGGATCGCAGACCCGCTGCCACCTCTCGGACATCTCCCGGGGCACGGCCCGAGCTGCCGCTGCCGCCCGGCCCTCCCGCCCCACCGCGTTACTGGGGCAACGGCCGCACCGGGGCCCGAGCGGGACGGACCCACCCGGGCTGCAGCCGGGCCTCTCCCGGGCCCCCGCGGCCCCGCTTACCCGGGGCTCGGCGGGCCGCGCACCGCTCCATGTCCCGCGGCCCCGCAGCCCATGGGGAGCGGGCGGGCGGCCGGGCCGGGCCGGGGCCGCTGCCTCTGCCGCCGCCTCAGCTCCCCATGGCCGCGGCGGCGCCGGTCGGCGGCGGAAGTGAGGTGGGGGGCGCGGGGAAGCGGCGGAGCGCGGCCGCGGGGCTGGCCCACCCTGCGGCCCCGGCGGCGGCCTGGCCAGCGGGGCGGCTCCAGGGCAGCCGTGTGAGTCCGGGGAGCAGAGACAGCCCCACGGGTTGCCGGGGCAGTGCCGGGGTCCCGGGGACATCCCCCACACTAGCCGCTCGTGTCCCCCAGGCTGGGGTCCTCCTGCAGCCGGGCCGGGCTGGCCTTCCACCATATCCCTGCACCCCCGTGTACATAGACGAGACACCTCCTGCCCTCAGGACTCTTTTAATGGTGTGACAGTGACTGTGCGGGAGACTGTGCTGCTGGCACTTGGTGATGGGGGATACTCGGCAGGCACTGTCTCCCCAGCGTCCTTTTCCTTGGGCGACATCCCAATGTCTGCGTCGATGGCGGTGTTGACCAGAACGATGGAGCCCTGATCTGCCAGGACTTTGCTGTCCTCCGCCGGGTAGTGGAAAGCCACGAAGAGCTGGTACAGGTACGTGCCCACGGCGGCCCCCAGCAGTGGTGCTACCAGTGGCACCCACCACCACCCATTGCCCCTGCTGAGGATGGGACAGGGTAGGCTCAGGATCATCCCTGACATCCCCACCTCGCCCCCTTCCCTCTACCCACCTGAAGACCTCTGGGCCCCAACCTGCCAGATAGGTGAAGAGGCGGGGCCCGATGTCCCGTGCAGGGTTCAGGGGGCAGCCGCAGTTGGCCCCCATGGAGCACTCAATGGAGAGCACCAAGAGAGCCACAACCACTGGTTCCAGGCCCTTGGGGACAGGCTTGTTGCGGGGGTCCATGATGCCCATGACAACCACTATCAGCACCCCTGTGCCGATCACCTGTGAGGACAGCACGGCAGCTCAGCACCATGGCGACTGAGGGGGCTGGGGGAGCTGACAGTGGCACCCACCTGGTCCAAGAAGCCATTGGCAACAGAGACAAAGTCAGCAGGGTAAGTGGCGAAGATGGAGGCAGTTTCTTGGGGGCCAGTGACAGTAAGGGTCCCATTGCTATGGTGCCAGATGGCATCTGGGGGCAGAGGCAGAGCATGTACATAAGCCTGGCCTCCCCAGCATCACCGTGGTGTTCCCTTGTCTGATGCTCCTCCCCCATACCATAGTAGAGGATGTAAACAGCTGCAGCAGATATGAAAGATCCCACGATCTGCACAACCACAAAGATAGGAAACTTCCACCAGGGAAACTGCTCTATCAGGCACATGGCTAAGGAGAACGCTGGATTCATGTGGGCCCCTGCAATGGAGTAGAGAGAAGGGCTGGAAGTGGAGGGTCCTGGGGGACTCAGAGCCAGGGGAGAGCAAGAGCTGGAACCTCTTCCTCTGTCTCACCAGAGATTCCCCCTGCTGTGTAGATGCCTGCCATGACACCCAGGGCGCCTCCCAGGTAGCTGGTGATGAGGTTCCCCTTCGTCTCAAAGAAGGCAATCTTCTGTGCAGCGCTGCCCAGGGTGATTGTCTGGAGAAGAGGGATGTAGCCCCACCTCAGCCCTAGCCTCGTGCTGAGACCCTCCCACTGTTGATACTGCAGGGCAGCAAGGTGAGGGCTATGCCAGTGCTGCCTGCCCTGGTTTTGCTCCCCAGTACTTGGACACCAGACAGGGACTGGCAGAGAGGTGGTTACTGCCCTCACTTGTGGTTTTGATGGCAAAGTAACCAAATTATAAGCAATTAAATAAACTGCTTTCTGTGGGGAGGAGTTGGGGAAGAGGTGTCCCAACATAGCCCCAGGCACACCATTTGCCATCCTGGGATGCAGCCCAAAGGCTAAGAACTGCACCAGAGCCCCAGCCTTTGGCTGCTCTGAGGCAGGAGGTATCAGAGCACACACTGCCCAGCACCACACCCTGATTGCCATGGCACAGGGTGGACCATGCTGTGGGAACAGGGTCCAAGAGGGAGGACAGGCAGTGCCGAGCTGCACATTTGAGTGTGGCGCAGCCCCAAATCCTTCCAACCCCAAGGGGCAAGCAGCAGAGCCCCGGGACCCCTGGCACCTGCCACCACGACACCATCAGCCCTGTCACACACACACGACACCCCCCAGCCACAACCCCCTGCGTGCCCTGCTTACCATCATCACGAAGGTGGCCAGCACCTCAGCCAGGCATTCCCGCACCAGCTGGTTCCGGATGCGGAGCAGACCCTGGGCCTTCGTCAAGAAAGAAGTGGTGCCCATAGTGCCAGCTGGGCAGAGGCAGCGGCAGCAGCGGTGGCAGCGGTGAGAGTGGTGTAGATGTCTAATTTGCAGCAGGTTTTATGAGCCCCACAGCCAGGTGGGTGATTATGTGCAGACTTTAAACCAATCATGGCTGCACCACGGGAGACGCCTGGCAGCGACCAGAGTCCTGTGTGTGGCCGGGGACACCTTGTGACAATGCTGCACCCCAGCAGGGCAAGGCCAGGTAGGAACACCCTGATCCCCAAGTGCCTGTGGGGAGCCAAGACCTCACTCGGGTGAGCAGGCACAGGGATTGCTTGGCCAGGAACCCCTTTTATCCCTGCCACATCCCTGCCCAAGCCACATCTGCAGTCAACACTAATGAAGAGGTCCTGGAAAGGCCTCCAGGCTGGGCCAGGCCCTCAAGAGTGGCCCAGGGGAGGCATTAACACAGCATCGGGCAGGGAAAAGGGAGAGGGAGGTTAAGAAGGGAGCAGTGCAGGTACAGGAGCCCAGCCATCACCTGCACCCCTGAGGCAGCCCCCCAGAGTCATCCTGGTGGACAGGGGAATCTGCCTCCAAACACACAGATTCCAGTCTGAAGGAGCATGGAAAGTCACCATTTAGCATAAATAGACTTTATTGCTCTGTACACACATACACTTGACCCCCACAGGGCTCCCTGTGGGCTCTGCAGCGCTGCAGAAGCTGGACTGCCTCCAGCCCAGGCACCACTTCCCAGCAAGATCTGACCCATCTACAACAAAAACAAGTGGTGAGAAGAGGCTGCTGCCACTGCCTGCTCTGACAGGCCTGGCAAGCCCAGGTCCCCCCAGCCTGCACCTGTCACACACATGGGCTGCTCAGTCAGGACTGGACACAGCTACCAGCTCGAGAACCAGCGTCGCAAGAAGCTGCCCAGCACAGATGAGGGGTCGCCCGGGTCGGCAGCAGGAAGCTCTTGCTGTGGCCACGTGCCAGCAAACTGTGCCAGCTCCCCTGGGAGGGCAGACAGAACTCCCTCAGTGGGGCCCCCGTCCACTCTCTACATCCTCCCCAGACCCCCACTCACGGTCATCCATGTTGACCACCTCCTCCCGGTAGTCCCTCTTGTGCCCGTCCTCCTTGGTGGTGGTGATGAAGGCCTGGTCCCCCCTGCGGCGCGTCACCGTTGTCTCGCGGCGGCCCTGGCTGTCCTGCACCGTGCGGCGCTCCTCCACCCCCTGTGCACAGCGCCGAGCCCTGAGAGACGTGTCCCCAGGCCTCCCACAGCCCTGCTGCCCCCCTGCTGCAGGGACACTCACCCCATCAGGGAGAGTCACTTTGGTGACGGAGACGCTCTGGAAGTAAGAGTGGGACTCGGGCTCGTTGGGTCTCAGGATGGTCCCCAGCCCAGCGGAGGAGACCTGGGAGTCCAGGTCTGGGGGGAGATGAAAGGTGCTGGCCACACGTGGGGACACGCCCCAGAGGCTGTGGCAGCCCAGGCGGGGGAGCAGGGAGGGCAGAGGCCCCTCAGCCCCTGCTCCCAGCACCCACCTTGGTCTTCTTTGAGGCTAGGAGGGGCCCGGGGAGCATCTTCCAGCTGCAAGAGAAAGCCCCGCATCGGTGACGGCAGCGGCAACACTGCACCAGCACAGAGCTGGCTGCCGCTGCTGAGCCTGCGGGAGGCAGAGCCCAGACCCCTCACCCACCCCTAAGAAAGGTCTCCATGGCCGGGCCAGATCGCCGGAGCTCCCCGGGGCCGCGCTGGCAGGGGGACTCTCCGGGTGCTTCAGCATCGAGTCCCGCAGCGGTCGCCTTGCGCTGCCCTCACCGGGGCCGGGCAGGGCGGGCTCTGGGCAGCACAAGGCGTCGGTCAGGCCGAGCCGAGGGGCTCTGAGCGGCCCCGAGTCTCGCTCAGCCCTTCCCGTACCCACCGAAAGGCTGCTGGGGCTCGGCCCAGAACCCCCCCAGCACGCCCAGGAGCTCGCCCATGTCCCGGAATAGCTCCTCGAAGGCGCCGCGGGAGGAGCCAGGGCTGAACCCGAAGCCGAAGTCCTGGGGGGGCTGCGACATGGACGGGCCGCCATCCTCTTCCTCGTCCTCCTCGTCCCACGCCGCGCCGCCGAAGAGCGGGTCCCGGGGTCTGCGGGACCGCGGCAGTGAGACACCCGGACAGCCCGGAGCAAGCGGGGGAGGCCCGGGGCCGGTGGGGCAACGGGCGGTTGAGAGAGGGACAGGTGCGGGTGAGGCCGGCGGCACCCAGGGGACGGGAGAGGCCCAGGTCACCTGCACCGTCCCGGGAACCCGAAGAAGCCGCGAAACACGTCGTAGAAGCTCATCCCGCCCCGGGTCCCTCCGGGTCCCGCTACCCTGTCCTGCCCGGGTCGCGCTGCCGCCAAGCGCCACGGCCGTAAAGCGCCGCCGGGTGTCGCGAGGCGCTGCGGCAGCGCGGCCGTCCCGGTGTGCGCGGCCCGGGCACCCGGGAGCCGCACGGGCCGGAGCCGTCCCGGTGTGCCCGGGGAGCCCCCGAGAGCCGCACGGGCCGGAGCCGTCCCGGTGTGCCCGGCCCGGGCCCGCGGCCCCGTGCTGTTCGCACGAGCTACCCCGGGGGGTGCCCGTGGGGCGGGTGCGGGCTGGCGGGGGCCCGGGCCCCGCAGCGGTGCCGGTGCTCCCCCAGCCCCGCTCTGTGCCCGCAGCCGAGCTCCAGCGCCCAGCCCAGCCCAGCCGCTCCCCCTCAGCCCCCCGCAGCACCGGCGGGCTCCAGCTTCGCCCCCAGCCCTTACCTGGCAGCGAGGAGGCTGAGGGGAGGGCCGGCGGGCACTGCAGGGACAGGCACTGCTTGCAGTGTGTCACTGCCCTCCCCTGCCCTGTGAGCTCGAGGGAGGAGGGGAGGGGGAGAGCACCCCTGAACCCCCAAAGGGAGGAACAGCAGCACCAGAGCAGTGGGGACACAGGCAGAGCTCAGTAGGAAGCAGAAATGAAGGGTCAGGGTCTCAGAGAGGGCATTATCCCTGTGCTGGCATCCTGCTGCCCAGCGCTGTAGCTGGGAAAAGGAAAAATCCACAAAAGGAGGGGACAAAAACACCAGCAAGAAGCTGGGGAGGGGTGGGGGAAGCACTGCCCCCACTGCCCAGGGCCACCCAACCCCCTGCACCAAAAATAGGGAACGAGGCTGAGAAGGTGGAAAAAATACACACATCACTTTGTGATCTTTATTCTCTTCAGTAAATCCCCACTCGGGGCTGCAGCTGAAGGGATCAGGTGGAACTGAAAAATACAAGATCTGGACTGCATAGAAAAAAAACAAAAATAAAACCCCAAAAAACCAAACCAAACCAAACCCCACAAAACAAAACAGAAAAAAAAAAGGAAAAAAAAAAAAAAAGAAACTAAAAAAATCCCCAACCCAAAAGCAGAAGATACTTACAGCGTGCAAGCAGGGCAGGACCTGCACTCTGGGCCCGTGAGGATGGAGGGACGCAGATGGAGAACATAAAATACCAGGGGGGACCCCTCGGCGGGGTGGGGGAGAAATGAGAGAACTAGAGGACAGCGTGGGGTTTTTGTTTTTATATACAAGACACATTTATCCATTAAATTTAGAACACGGTACAAAAAAAACACTTCAACTAATTAATCTTACAATGCTGCTCATATCAATTACTGGTCTTAATCCTAATAATAAGGGGGTTTGCTGTAGGCGACTCGCAGCTTCCACTCCTTTGGATCTGAGAGATTCTGGGGCAGCTGGATAGGAGAGGGGATAGAAAGGAGTAAAAACCAAAAAAGGCCCCTACGGCAAACGGTTCAGATCTGAATGCGGAGAGAGAGAAAAAAAAAAAAAAAAAAAGGAAAAAAAAAAAAGAAAAAAATACAAATTCTATATTACATACAACAGGAAAGTGGCTGAAGACAGACAACGCAGAGGTGCCTGCGGCCTGCCCCGCGGGGCCCTGCTGGGGCTGGGGGCCCGGGCGCTCCCCGCCGCAGGGCTCTCTCCTCCCTGGGATCCTTCCTCATCATCGGGGTCACTGGGATTCTCTTCCGGAAGCAAGTGGTGCCGAGGGCCCGGCCTCAGTTGGCGCCCCAGCTGTAGCTGTTGTAGGCGGACTTGTTGGCCTGGGATTTCTGGGGGATGGAGCTGCCTTGGCTGCGCTGCCCGGAGCCGCTCTGCGGGAAAGGGCAGAGGAGAAGCGGGAGGTGAGCGCAGGGGAAGCACCCCCAGCCTACCCACAGGGTAACACGGGCACGCCTGGGCCCCGGCCAGGTGCTCCGCGCTACGGCTCCTCCGCCTCGGCCCAGCTCAGCTCCCTGGCACGGGCAGCCTCCGGCACCTCGCAGCCGCACCGTCTGCGCCCCAGCACCCTCCCTCGGCCGCACGCCTTGCTCCAGGCCAGCGCACAGGGCTGTGGGCAGCAGGGAGAAGGGACACGGGGAAGGGTCGGCGTGGGTTGTGTCTGCGCGCGGGTGTGTGTGTGTGTGCACATACTGCCTGAGGGCCTCTCTCCTCGCAGGGCCCTGGGGGAGAAGGAAGGGGCTATGTGATCCTGGGGAGCCTTCGGGGCGGGGGCAGAGCCCACAGCAAGTGCAATGCATTTTCAGAGAGTTCATTACCTGATCTTCCTGCTGGCGTTGGCAGCACAGTATCATCTGCAAATATGGAAGCTGTTGCAGTACCAGGATATGTAAAATAAAGGGACAAACTATGACAATAGAAATCCACCGTTAGACCTGAAAGCTCCTGTAGGGTCGTGGCTATGGCAAGGAACCCCTTTGGTGCTGGCCTGGGGAGCTGCCCCTCTGAGGACGGGGGAGGTCAGGGTGCCCCAGATGTGTCTGCATGAGGGGGCACTACCTGGCCATACCTGGTGCAACCCAGCAGCAGGGGGGTTGTGCTGAGTACCCACCCTGGCAGAGCACAACCCAGGCCTTCCTTCTCATCATCCTCTTACTGGCCCTGTGTGTATGTGCAGGTGTGAGCGTGTGCGTGTCACTGCATGTGTCCGCCGCAGAGCATGAGGGAAGGAGGCAGGGAGGGACAG